CCCGGCTGCGAGGTGGTGGCTTCAGCCAGGAGGTGGCTGAGGGGATCCCTCACCGCTGGTTTCCCGGCTCCTTCTCCCCACCCCATCGCGGATGTGGGGCTCCCCGGGGGAGGAGAGGCACTGGTGGCAGGGCCTCCCCATGAAGGACGGCAGAGCGGGTCCCTCCTGCCACCCATCACACATCACACCCCAGCCTCTCTGAGAGCCACAGGACCCCAACGCTGATGGATGGACGTGGTTGAAAGGACCCGAAACAGTTCTCGGCTGGAGCCAAGGTGTGCTGAAGGCTCCATCCCAACCACAACAGAAAAAAAAATAAAAAAAAATAGGAGGCAGGAGTAAGTGGTGGAAATGTAGTTTTGATTTCATAACTCCAGAACTGGGCCAAAGTGCACCAGATGGTGACAGGACCTACAATAGGTTTTGTACACGCACACCCCCAAAAACGCGGTTTTAAAGTTTCAGCATAAGAGTAATTGGTGTAAAAGTGATTAGGGTTAGGGTTAGGGTTAGGGTCTCATCATCTGAGAGATGACTGGCATCTCTCTTCTATAACCTTAGTCATTTAAGCAAAGTTCTGTATAAATGATTATTTATATATTATGCTAATATGTAAATCCGAACTGTGAAATTGCTACTGTTTAGCTCAATAGGTTAAAGGTAAGCTGGAAATCCAGGAGTGGTCTCTGATATATAAAAGATCTAAAAAAGTTTTTCAAATACATGTTTAAAGATACATCTGGACCTAATTCCTTGAAGGACTTTATGGACATGCATAATTTCAGAGGACTGCTAATCTGATTTGTACATACACATAAATTTGATTGAAAGTTAAGGTCTGTCATCATAAGCAAGTGAGATGGTGCAAATGACACCACAACTCACAAGAAAGTTGAGCTTCATTCAGACTGAGCCAAAGAAAGTTGGGCTTCATGCTTATCTTAGCCAAACTTTTAATTTTATCTGAACAAATCAGGACTCAGCTCTTGGAAAGCCATATTCTTGTACATGCACAAATGCCCTACTCCCTTAACAATTGTGGTTAAACTCTTGTTATTCCATGATTACATGCACAGTTTTACTGACACAAAAGTGCTTGTAACCAGTGCAATTTATCCATTGTTAACCAAAAAAGATAAATCATTTAATATAACTGGGTCCACACTCCGTACATGGTTTGTGCTCGGAAGGGTTTTGAGGTCCTGTAGTAAGAAATTTGACAAATTGTGTTGCTTATGTTGAAGCTATGTCCTTGAATAAAATATATGAGAGAACAGGATTATTTTTTCCTGTATAACTGTGTTTGCAGTCAAGTTTTTAACAGCCCAGATACCTCAATTGTAAGTGTCAATCTTTTTAAAGAGGTAGACCAAATCAAAAAGTCACAGCTGCGTAACTCGGATGAATGTCATAGTTGTATCAATCTAACTGAACATCTCACTGAAAAATCATTCTTATCCTTTAACTAACGAATCACAATAAATGTCCACATACCCTAAAAAACCCCAAGACATATGAGGCTGTGTCAGTGATTAAAAAAAACCAAACCCACTCACATTTCAGACCCTCTGCATTTGCTAGTAAAGTTTTTTAAAAGACAGAAGTCACGTTTATTTTACATTCTTAATACAGCGTTTGGACTAAGGATATACATGACTGTTGGTGAGCAATCAGTAATAATTCTAAAGGTGTATGGTCTAAGCACATTTTCTTTGTAGAAGGTGCTTTTGGGAGTAATATGATGACTGCTTCTAACTGGTCAGGCCAATAGTCATACCACAGTTCATCTTCTTATTTTTTAGGTCATTGCTTTAGTCTAAGAAGCTGAATCATGGGATTAAGAATGTGATTTAGTGAAACTTAGAGTGATAAAAAAGAAAGAGGAAGAATGTTGCAACATTTCAGTTGTGCAATACGTTTAAATGAACTATGACAATTAAATCGAGATTGTGTGGGGAAATTCCAGTTACACGAAGAAGAATATTGACAAATTTTAGTTCAGCATTTCTGTAATTCTTATTTGCATTTTTCATCTGTGTATGCCTTGAGGTAACTTGTTAGTTTTATTTGTTTGCCACGTAATAGCTGTCACAGTGAGAGAAACACCACATACATTTTTTTTCATTGAACCTGTGCTGATGTCTCACCAAGTAAACCATATAAATACACTTGTGAGTAGATAAAAATGAATATGATTTTGTGTTTTCCAGCAGCTGAAGTCTAAAAGATGATAAGGTTATTTTCAAATTAGTTCTTTTGCTCATACTACTCAAAATCCAAACTAATTTGGATGTGCTGGGGTGGCTGACTGGTGGTTTGAATTCTCAGCGAAAAAATAAAGGGCATTTTCCTTAAGGTATTTGCTGTCATTTAGTACCTGTGGACCAATCAGAATCCTGTAGGCAAAATATAATCTTCCTACTTTAAAAATTTGAAACTTCAGTTTCGAGAGAAGTAGTTTATGATGACTCTAAAGAAAATTTGATGATGATGAGTCTTTTGGCCCTAAAATATTTATTCCCTGTCTACCTTCTTGACTTTCCACACTTCAGAAGACTGTCACACTTTTGTAGAATTCTACTACATGAGATGGTGACACAAATGCTGTCATTTTTATACCAGGTTCCTCATCTTTTCCATGGTGGTTGTGCTTACCTATGCACCATTGCATATAATTGAGCACGATTTTGTTTCGTAAGTGCCACTTTCTTTTTACTTTTTCATGAAAAGAAAGTAACTGTCACAGAATATATATTTTTTTCCTTTTTGCCAAGCAGCAGACCAGAAGTAAAACAAAAATGTACCTAAATCTTCATTTAGCTTCACAGATTTTTTAGTGGAAAATATGGGATAAGAAAGATTGTGTCCTTAAAAGTTCAGTGCAGTACTTTGTAAATGCATTGCAGATATGATACAATATTCTTCGTGTGAGCTTTCTTGAAAGCATACATCTAAGATTATTGAGTTTAAAAATAAACAATAGCAATATTCACCTATAAAACTTTAGCTTGAGAAAAGCTTTAATTAAAAAACGAATGGAGTTCAGTGCAATTTCAGGTTATTTGCATTGCTCTTATGATGTGAAGTGTTCCAAAAACTTCAAATGGCTTTCTTTGCATGTGCCGATTCCACTCTCTTCTCACCTGAAGTCCTTCAAAAGCTTTGAAGTGATCACAGTCCTGTACTTAGCATAGAGCAGCTTCTGATTTGTCACAAGTGGCCCACTTTTTAAATGGAGTTCTTTGTCATATTTATGAAAACACTCCAGAAACATAAGGAAAAGATGTGTGGTTCAAGATTAAAAAATGGACTAACTGAAGCATGGATTAAGATGATTTTCAGAAGTGTCAAACAAAAAAATGAGAGCTACTGTACCATTTTCATCAATTCCACTATCAAAGAGAAACAAGACGAATATAGAGTACAAGCTAGAGCAAGTCTTTGGATAGTATTACAACAAGAAAATACAGATGAATAGGGATTCTTAATGCCTGAGAACTTGTAAAAACCTGTCTAAAAGCCTTGTCCAAGCTTATGTTGTCTGAGAATTTGGAACCAATTTAGTCAGATTTTTCTCTAATGTTTGCATAAGCTTTCAAAAAAAAAAAAAGGATTCTCCTTTCTTCCTGTTCTTGATAAATCATCTTGGAAACTGAAGGCAAAAACAGAATGAAGAACTGCCTACTGTAGGAGAAGATCGTGTTCAAGACCAGCTAAGGAACCTGAAGCTACTTAAATCCGTGGGACCTGATGAAATCCATCCAGAGGATGAGCTCCTGATGGAGCTAGCGGTTGAAGTTGCTAAGCCACTTTCCATTATATCTGAAAGGTGTGGCAATCTGGTGAAGTTCCTGCTGACTGGAGGATGAGCTCCTGATGGAGCTAGCGGTTGAAGTTGCTAAGCCACTTTCCATTATATCTGAAAGGTGTGGCAATCTGGTGAAGTTCCTGCTGACTGGAAAAGGGGAAACATAACCCCCATTTTCAAAAACGGAAAAAAGGAAGACCCAGGGAACTACAGGCTGTTCAGTCTCACCTCTGTTCCTGGCAAGATCATGGAGCAGGTCCTTCTGGAATCTCTGCTAAGGCACAGGAAAATAAGGAGGTGATTGGTGACAGCCAACATGGCTTCACCAAGGGCAAGTCATGCCTGACGAATTTGATGGTCTTCTACGGTGGTGCTACAGCATCAGTAGATATGGGGAGAGCAACAGATGTCATCTACCTGGACTTATGCAAAATGTTTGACACTGTCTTGCATGACATCCTGGTCTCTAAATTGGAAAGGCATGGATTTGATAGGTGGACCACTCAGTGGATAAGGAACTGGCTAGATGGCCATACTCAAAGGGTTGCAGTCAATGGCTCAATGTCCAAGTGGAAACCAGTGATGAGTGGCATTCCTCAGGGGTCAGCACAGGAACCAGTGCTGCTTAACATCTTTGTCGGAGACATGGACAGTGGGATTGAGTGCACCCTCAGCAAGTTTGCCGACGACACCAAGGTATGTGGTGTGGTTGACAGCACTGGAAGAAAGGGATGCCATCCAGAGGGACCTGGACAGGCTTGAGAGGTGGGCCTGGGCCAACCTCGTCACTTTGACCAGGCCAAGTGCAAGGTCCTGCACCTGAGTCACAGCAATTCCAAGCACAAATACAGGGTGGGCAGAGAATGGCTAGAGAGCAACCCTGGGGAGAAGGACTTGTGAGTGTTGGTGGCCAAGAAGCTCAACGTGAGCCAGCAATGTGTGCTGGCAGCCCAGAAAGCCAACCACATCCTGGGCTGCATCAAAAGAAGTGTGCCCAGCAGGTCGAGGGAGGTGATTCTGCCCCTCTACTCCACTCCGGTAAGACCCCGCCTGGAATACTGCATCCAGCTCTCAAGTCCTCAGCACAGGAAGGACATGGACCTGTTGGAACAGGTCCAGCAGAGGGCCACGAAGATGATCAGAGGGCTGGAGCACCTTTCCTATGAAGACAGGCTGATAGAGTTGGGGTTTTTCAGCCTGGAGAAGAGAAAGCTCTGGGGAGACCTTCTAGTGGCCTTCCAATACCTGAAGGGGGCCTACAGGAGAGATGGGGAGGGACTTTTTATTAGGGAGTGGAGCGGTAGGATAAGGGGTAACAGTTTTAAACTGAAAGAGGGGAGATTTAGATTAGATATCAGGAAGAAATTCCTTACTGTGAGGGTGGTGAGGCACTGGAACAGGTTGCCCAGGGAAGTTGTGAGTGCCCCATCCCTGGAAGTGTTCTAGACCAGGCTGGATGGGGCTTTGAGCAACCTGGTCTAGTGGGAGGTGTCCCCCTCCCATGGCAGGGTGGGTGGAACCATTCTATGATTCTGTGATTCTATCATTACACAAATGCTTCTGTAACCTAGAAGAGGATTGTGAGAGAATATAATTTTTTAAAAAATCAAACTTTTGATGTGGTCATACTCTTCTTTCTTGAAGTTAACAAAATTGTTAAAATATTTGTTTAAGAATGATTGCTTTCATACAGAGAGCTTTCTCTTTTGGGTATTAAGAGCACAGGTGTTCAAGCTGAGCACCTGTCATTTTTGCTACTCTAGGTGGTAGTTTCAGAAGTTCAACACTGGAAACTTATCCAGCCTCACTGTTGGAATGAAGATTATTCATCTTGTTGAATCACATAAGAAGAATCTCTAGCTAGTACCTACTTGTCCCATCATACACCTAACAGGAAGTTTCATTTTCAGAATCTTTGCTCAGTTTCCACTGATCTTTGGTGTAAGCTAAAACCCTTACGTGTTTATGTTTCTGATAGTGGAGTTCCTTAGGTGCCTGTGTTTAGACACACAATCGTGCCTCTTGGTACTGGTGACAATAATAACCAAACTGTGTAAAGATTTATGAGCTACATAAAGCTCATAAAGTTTCCTATTGTCTTGACCAACAGAGCCTGATCGAATAGATATCCTCAACTGGTTGTACATTAGACAAGAAAAAAATAGTGTAAAGAGGTGATGGCATCACAATATGCTTATTTCAACAGAACACTAGGTAGCATATATTTTGTATGTATGATGTTTGCCATATGTTTATATGCATATATGCATGTGTAGAAATTCTGTAGGTATGTTCACACTCATGCTCTGTCGGTCAGTCCCAGTGAACTTCTAATTACCCCCGATGAAGGTGGATTGCTTCAGCGGAAGACTTACAACACCTTGGGCCTAGAGTACTCTTAAACTGTATCTACATTAGTAAATTAAACAGTGCCTAGGAACGCTCCCAGGCATTGGAACACAATTGCTCTCCTGGGGTAAAGTCCTTTCAAATGAATCAGGAAATAAAGCCAAATTCTCTCACATCTTGGGATGCTGAATGCCATTAGATATGTTTTACTCTACCGCAGTGTTAGTTTAACAGATAAAAGAAATGTCATTTCTAAAATGTCATTTATGGAGTAATTTATGTCATTCATGAGTGAAGTATCACTGTCACATCTCTGCATATTGCGTACAGAAAAGGAAGAAATACATTTCAAATAGTATGCTCTAAAAATATGGTATCTTTTTAAAAAGATTCATTACTACAAATGGAGCTTAATAGTGCAGCAGGCAGCATTCCAATTTATATATTTAAATGTCTTATGCACATAGCAACAGTTTACACAAAGTTACATTTCTCTTGTGGTTTCATGTGTATGTCTCATTTATGTTTCACGGATCTCAATTAACTTTTAATTTCTTCTCTCTCTTCCTACTTTAGTGACACTGGAACTAAACCTCCAGAGAGTGGTGTCTTTGGTTTTATGATTAATATTTCAGCACTTTTAGGTATGTATGAGGTACTTGATTTGAACACAGCAAAGAAATGAAAACTAGCGAAAGCTACATTGCAGTCCATACAATATTCTGCAGATAAAGCATTCCACAGTCAAAACGTAATATCAGATAGATGGAAGTAATATCTAGAGGGCCAGGTCCTTAGGGTCAGTAAGTGCAGGCTTGGAGGCACTTCTGTCTCTTAAGAGCACCTCATCAGTGCAAAGTAGTCAATGCAGCTGGAAATAAAAGAAGGAGGATAGGATAATTACTTTGCAAAACCTGTATCTTTGATATATGGAGACATTAGGTTCTAGGATGCTGTGGCAAAGGGAAGAACAGTGTTGAAACAATGCCTGGTTTCCTCTGCAAGATGTCAACTCCACTAAATGTCTACTGGACTTGAATCAGGAAGTTTGGCATTTTCTATTCACTTCTAGGGGATGGAAGATCAAGAACTCTGTACCTCTGTATATATGTAGTCCATGATGACCTTCATGCAAAGTAAAAGTCACATATTTTATCTTTTCTAAGATACTCATTCAGTCACACTGTCTTCTTGTCTTTCATGTAACCTCATCAAAGTTACCTGATTTATTTTTCCAATTGTAGATTGAAACTATGCTCTGTGTTATTGAACTGTGGAATCCAGTCCACAGCTTACTATATCCTGATGAACAACAACCTTTTAATTCAGTAGAGGTGTTTGTCGGGAGTGCACTGCATTTTGGGGTCATGTAGGCTGCAATAAAATCTGTGTATAGTGGTTTGAGTATAGAACAAAATGTGTATTTTTTGTTTTTCAGCTGTAATTACAATGTACATCAGATATTTATTAATACAGAAGCAAAATGAGTCATCGCACTTTATTAGGTCTTCGTGCAACATGTTTTCATTATGTATTGGATTGATGGGCTGTATTGGAATGGGCATAGTTGCAACTTTCCAGGTATGACTATAAATTTCATATCATAATTTAAACTAAAGTTGTTTTACCAGTTAAAAAGTCAAATAGGTCAGAGTGGTTAACATAATCCCAACATTTGAATACTTGTCAAATGGAGTAAGAATGTGTTTTTTACTCCTGACTTTTTTCAGTAGCTTTGAAAACACAGATTTGCTTTCTCACTATAAACTAGATTTTTTGCTTATACGGTTATGTCAGTAAGCGTTTTTTTGTGTGTTTGTCTTGTAACATCTGTACTAGAAAACAACTTAATATAGATGCTTTTGCTGTAAAATTTTTACTATGAAAATTTTGCTGTAAAAAGGCATTGCTATTCACAGTTTGGTTTGTTTACAGTCAGGTAGGGAAGAGTAAGTCACAGTAGCAAAAGCACCTGTATTGTTACCTGAATGATGGCACACGCACAAGCAGCATTTTCTACAGAATTTAGATTTCAACTAGATTTATCTGACAGGTTGGAACATTGAGCACAATATTAGCACAATATTATGGTTGGACTAGATGATCTTAAAGGTCCCTTCCAACCTAGGCGATTCTGTGATTAGTCCATCATTTTGAGTCTGCAGGAGATGGCATAACAACATGGTAAGTCTTTCGATAGAGACATGCAGAATTACCACTTACTGTTCCAGAAAGGATAAGACATCTCATTGTAAATCGAGGGAGTTCAGCCCTCAATGTCTGGAAGAAAATTTGATAGAGAGGAAAAATATTGAAACAGATTATTCTTTTCACATTTTCCTGTGAGGAAGCATATAATAGAGTAGATTATGACACAAGAAAATATTAGGACAATTACACCAAAAACTTCAGCTAAGAATCAAATCAAGTTTAAATGCCAGGTAGTTTAATATATTGCCTTTTAATCTGTGGAAACAAATGTATTATTTCATTTAAAGGACAGTGTACCTTGAGGAACATTTTGGTATATTCTATGGTGCTCATATAGTGACCTGACAATATACAGAGAAACTGAAAATAAAGATTGTCAGGCCTTCAGCAGCCAATACAATTTTGCATGTAATTAACATGGTGTTTTCAGACAGAAAACTCTGCGTTAGGCCAATATCTTGCTCTATTTAGTTTTTCCTCCAGGTAGTGTGTGTGGATTGGAAACAGTACAGGAACTGCAGTATATTCCAAGCATGCTATTCTGCTTTTAAATATCTGTGCTCCTGTATGTGGCATAAAAAGTGTTAGTTGATGGGCTGTAGTGTTGCCTGACTGACATAGAAAACAAACTCAGCTTCAATAAGAAAAAGACAAATCACGAATGCAAAATAATTTGGGAGAGTCAGGGAAGCAGAAACTTTGATCATAAAGTTTCCAAAGAGTCCCCTTAACATAACATCCCCAATAACATTGGTTCTTATCTAATCCCTATTGTCTCGCATTGCTGGTTCATAAACTTCTTCCTCACTTAATTTCTCTTTCCTCTGCTTTCACCTTACTTTGCAGGCTAGGTGCAGTTTGTAGGAAGTGTTCAGACCACAGTAAGGATATAAACTAACTAAGGATCTGATCTGGCAGATTTTTGAGCGTGCTTAATTGTGCAGGAAGATGGAAATGGTGGCTTGCAACTCTTCAGTCTTTTAACTGTATAGTGTACAACTATGGAACTCTTACCCTGTTTACCAGTAGAATAACTAAGACATGAAGAGGCTCTGAGATTTGCTGGAGGTCAGGTGATTGTTTCAGATCAGGAAATCAAAGCAGGGCTGGAATTAAAAGTTATTTCTTTGAGATTCAGTCTAGTTCCTCTAATCAGTGGGTCAAGCAGGAAATTCACGTTCATATTCTTGTTTCTTAAGGCTTATTCTTCCCCAGCAGGTGAGCTGTGGAAAATATACACTCCATACCTGTACTGTAGTAGAGCTGAGTGACACTATTGAATATCAGTTCATTTTCTCTTTTCCCAAAGCAAAATATCTAGTTTGTTTAAAAGGCTTCAGTGTAAAATTATATTGGAAAGATTTAAGGTTTGCTTTTATTTACTCAAATCTATTGCCACTTGTGGTGAGTCTTTTTAAGTAGCATACTTAGTTGTAAGGAATTTTTTTACATGGTAAGTAGCATGGAGTTTTAGTGATACTGATCTCTGAACACTTAACAAAAGCGAGAAAAGGGGTGAGAGAAAACACTAGGAGTTCCAGAGAAAATAAGTAATGGTCACGAATAAGGTGTTTACTCTCTGTTTTAAATAACACAGTGCTTAAAATACAGAAACTAAAGACAGTGAAGGGTTAGCTTTAAGAAGATAATTGGATATGGAAGGAAACATTCCCTAGCCCTTAATGAATAAGGCAAAGCAAATACCAAGGTCTTATTAGGTCTGGTTTTGACTGTTAGGTGTTAGAGATGGTTAAACTAAGGTCTTCCTGTCTTTGACTAAAAAGCATAGGGGCCTTACCGCACTAGATGTAGCAACATTTCCCAGGTTCTGTAGGGGTTCAGTATGATGGGATTTTTAGGGAAGCTGTGGCAGTTTGATAGGAGCAATCTGGTTACAGAAAGGAGCTTCAAAGCTACCTTACCTGTCTGACATTGGATCCCAAGGTGGCATAACTTTGTATTTCTAATTTTTTGAAACATTTAGGATACAATAATTTCCCAGGAATCTTCAGCTGTTTCCTTACTGGATATTCTACTTGTTTGCTTTTTAAAGGAGAGAATCTTCCATAGGTAGGATGTGACAAAAATACAGGCCATATATTCTGTTACTGGAATTTTATACATACTTTCACCTGTTGCAGAACTGGAATAAAAGTGGCTGATGATGTGGGGAAGAGTGAGGGCTGAATAATTCAAAAGACTGACAGTGTAAGACTTTCATGGCAAGAGCTTATTTTAGTTAACACTTTTTTTTTTAAATTATATAAATAATTTTCTGCTGACTTATTTCCTGGATCCTTGTGGCTGGCCACTGGAAACTGGGCAACAGAGTTATAGCAGTCTCTATTTAGAACAGCTCCTATGAAGCTTTACTGTTAATTAGAGTATGGCCACACAAATGCAGATTAGACTTTCAATGCAAAAGGATGAAATTCTTTCACAGGGTGAAGGGAAAAAGCACTTATAGGAACTTCTTAAGAAAAACATATGCCAGGTCCTGTTTGTGGAAACATTAATTGGTAATAGACCAACTGTTGAACAGCACTAAAATTGATCTATGCTTTTATGTGAACACAGGAAAGGACTTTGACTTGGTGGATTTGGACATGGTTAGTTTACCTCTCTGAGATACTCTTTCTCCTTTTCCTTTCATCTTCCCTGTGTAGACTGTTGGGAGCAGGGACTGTTTCCCATTGCTTGTACATGTTCAACATAATGTGGCTACGGTCTTCTATGGGCTCATTGATTCCTCTTGCTGTACAAATAATAGCAACTAACCATTGTGTTGATTCTCTTTCCAGGAGCTGGCTGTTCCCAGTGTCCATGACATAGGAGCTTTGGTGGCATTTGGCTCGGGTGTTGTATACATTACACTTCAGTCTATAATCTCTTACAAGTCCTGTCCGCAATGGAACACTTACTTTGTGTGTCACATAAGGATGGCCATATCTGTAATATCATGCATTGCTTTCATTCCCAGTATCCTTTATGGTGTATCCCACAGTTTTCCCATTATGCATTCATGATTTTAATTTTTAGTTAAACTGTTGCTGATAAAGGATGAAAATGAGTTTACAATATTTTCTTAGGGTTCTTTAATATATCTGCTATAATAATGCATATAGCATGTCGAGACACCATTAATAGCATAAATATGAGTCTTTCTAAAAAACTGTAGCTCTTCTTTTAGTGGTATATTTAAATCTAATGCCCATTGTTCTTCATAGAATCACATGATAATTCAGAAAGGAAGTGATATCAGCAAGTCAGCTAGACCAACTTGTCAGCCTCCTTCATTTGAAGGAGGGTGTGGGGAAAGATCTGCAAAATGGGGGCACTGCTCGGATAGAATGAACTTATCCGAGACACACATAAAATACAGTTGGCATATACAAGATTTCCTTCAAGCCTAAGCAGATGCTTTGGATTATGTTTATTGGTGCTTGTCTTCACTAGATGCTTCGTCTGGAGACACAGTCAACACGTTTACTGGCTTTTCCCACAGCCTGCTGAAATCAGTCATCCCATTGGTTTTACTGATCTTTAGTTGATCTGCCAGTATTGAAAGGTAGCAGCACATTATCACATCAGCCAGAGAGCTACAGCCTGCTTTTGGTTTCAGCAGCTGTAAAAGGGCTTTTAAAGAGGGCCCCAGTCCTGAGAGAAAGTTGTACCAATGGAAACCAACGAGGTTCCCCTTCCAACAGTGCAATAGTCTGCTCCTACAGTTCTCGATCATGAATGTGATCTAAGTTTTGGGGTGTCTTCTCTTACCCTCTGTACTTTGGACGAACCTGCACATTGTGCAGCATTTTGGTTTGATTGCTGCGGTCAGTTATCTTTCAATAATGCGCTTCATTTACTTGCCTTCTTAATACTTTGATTTGATACTCTGGTTGTTTTCAGGATCTTCTGTGTTACAGAAGGGGAAGATGGGGTCTTTTTTTTGTAGCAAGCATTTTCATTATCATTCACCAAACATTTATAGTTTCCTTTACACTGTGTTTTTCCCAGTGATTGTGTTTGCTTCACAAATTTCCATGACAAAAATTGACTGGACTCCAGATGAAAAGGTAAAATCTCATTAAGTAGCCAACTTACCCTGTATCTTTTTGTGTGGTGTACACTGTTACATTTATCTAAAAGTGTATAGCATTACAAATGCTTCAGGTATTTTAAACAGTACATTATCATGAACAGATTTGTGAAATCTCACCAGTCTGTGCAATGCTGGTTTCCAGGTAGTTCTTCATTAGAAAACTGTCTGTGGCTTGGGTAAGAAAACCTGTCACGGATGGGTAAATCTCCAGAGAGTTAGACTTTCACTTTAACCAAACATTTGAAACTTACCCATGGAAGAAATTATTAAAAAAATATACATATATCTATTCTGGAAGTGAGTTGTTCTACTTCCTTTTATAGTCACATTTCTTGAAAATGAACTTCACATGTAAAACAAAAGCGGACCAAGTTGTTTCTGACGTTTTTGAGGTTTTTCACAACATTGGTTTTCTCAGCTTTTTCGCCATTCTTTATTAAATAATCTTTACTGTTGTGATAAACATTAGGGGTCCGACCTGAAGAATACTAAAGTCAGTATCAGGTGTTTGAACTGATTTCAGTGTTCTCAGAATGATAACTATGAAAGGTAAGTTTCCTTTTTGGACAAACTTTGCTACATGGAGGTTAAATAATGAAGAGGTGTATGGTTAAATAATGAAGAGGGTGTATCCAGCTTGAAGAGTTTAATAAAAGCAAGTTTGGCAAATGTACTTCAACCAAACAGTGGGAAGGCAGCTGTGAGATGAATCTTCACAAGTTAGATAATCTTAGTAATACCTACCTCTTGAGGTTTTTTTTTTTACTTGAGATGCAAGGATAAGAAAGATGTTTTTATTGAAACAGATGGCATATTTTGATGGCATGTTAAGAAACACTTTACATACTGTTTGTGTCATATTACATAGGTTTTCTATAATGGTCTGCTTGAAAACAAAGGTCTTGTCAGGAACTGTCATACAAGGGTATGACATTTTAAAACATCATGAGAATTTACTGTAAAGGATAGTACTACTAAACTCGGTAACTCTGAGTAAAAGTTTTGAATATGGGCGCTTTTGTATCCTTCACATAAGAACTAAATTTTTCAGGTGCAAATTATATTCAAGTTATGATTTTTTTATGTTAGTGCACAAAATATTGTTTAATGAAACATATGCAACCTTGATAAATATATTTACCATTCGGTCTGAATTTACTCTTATACAGCAGGGTATTCTTACCATTCGGTAAAAACTGAGTCTGAATTTACTCTTATACAGCAGGGTATTGTGATGATGAGTCATAAGTCTTAAGATATTTGTTGAATTTACAGAAGGAAATGTCTGTAGCATTCCACCGTTACTTTGTTTAGCTGTTTTATCTGAAAATTTATTTTATGTCTTATTCTATCAGGATTATACTTACCATTTTTTGAGTGCAATCTGTGAATGGACAGTGGCCTTTGGTTTTATCTTCTTCTTTTTAACGTTCATTAGAGATTTTCAGGTTGGTATCTACATATTTTAGCAGTGATAAGAAGTGCTCTGAATTGTGTAACAACAAATGCAATAGAAAATTACCATTATTTATCTCAGCTAAATATACCAAAACTATACAGAAACAAATTTTATTAGTCACTGATTTCTGCCTATCTAATGAATATTGTTCCCCTTGTATTTTTAAAACAAACATAAAAATCAGCTTTATATGTCCATTAAATACTTTAATGGGTGTCCAGCCTTGAAAATTATTCAGTAAATATCTTTTACTTACTTTCCAAATGTTTTGTAGAAAGAGACCCTCTTAAGGGTGATATAATACCAAAATAAGTGATACAACTAAAACTGCATTTCTTTTTCTTACTTGAGGGGTCTTATGTAATAATCCAATGCATTTCAGCCATAGATGTTTCCTCTTTTAAAAAAAAAAATTACACATTTTGATAAACGTTCCCTCACAATGCGAAGAATATCATATACTTTTTGAAGAGTATTGACATGTGAACCTTCCGATTTGGGTGGCTGGATCTGGTGATATGTTAAGCCTGACTTTAAGAAAGAGAGAATATTAGATCAATAATGTATAACTGTAGAACTAATAATTGAGATCACGGATGTGAGCCAATTGCTGCTGTGATAAGTTGCTGGAAATCATGTCCAGAATTCATGGAAGAGGGGAGGGAGGAAAAATAGTGAGAACCCTCTTAAGTCTTCTGGCATAAAACCGAAGTTTGATATCAGATCATGTAAAACTTTGTAATTAATTTATTGACTTCTTCACTTACATGCTTCCTCAGCATGGAAGGGGTTAATACTTACATATAGTCTGTATATAACTTTCAGAAGCATATACAGAAGTCATTTTTCAACTAAGGATTCAGACTTAATATATATTTTGCTGACTGATAGCAAACATTTCTATACCTGCTTACTTTTGACCGATAGTGCTGAATGGACCATGGTTGTAGGGCTTTTTCTTATTTTAAAATAAAAATAAAACAAACAAACAAACAAAAACATAGGCTAGGTTCTACAGAACAAAATACTTTAAAAAAAATAAATAACTTTTCAACATTCATAAATGCACACATCATTTAATTTACCATTTGGGGGAGGAGGTATTTATTGCCAATCCATCACCCTCTGATGTTTATGTCTATAATGGTATCTGTTTTATCAAAAGTCAGACTCTTCCCTTGGAGATACACATTTGCAGACAGTGCTGTCGTCCTCAGAGTAGTCAAATGAATTGATAGGTCTGCTTCAGAACACAGATGCCAAAGTGTTCAACATTGAAAATTTAACTGGATATAAATATTGTGAACATAATAAGAGAAAGTGATGGAATTAAGCTAAATAGAAATGCAGACGTTTTAATTTGCAAGCTGTAAAATAGCATGAAATCCAATGCTAGTGTTTGACAGTGACCAAGATTTTTTAGGTTCTATCTTCCTTTTGTTCTAACTGGTGCTCACAGAACACCAAACTATTAATTCAGAAAAAACAACCATCAAACTCTAAGAAAAATAAGCCATTTTATTTATTTATTTATTTATTTCTCACAGTATGTATTTCACTTAAATATATATATTGTTTTATCTCCTTGTACTTTATATCACAAAACTGTAAAATTAATTTATCTTATGCTGATTTTGTTTTATTTTTCTTTTAGAGAGTTTCTTTAAGGATATCAACAGAAATACATGAAGATTCCTGATAGTGGAGAAAATTATATTTTACATATATGAATACTCTAGGGTTTTTTTTACTTATAGAAAATGTTGCAGAGGGACAGGGATTTAAAAAGGTGTATAAAGAACCCATGCCATTAACTGCGCAGTTTCTATAACAGCAACCACTAAAATGTTTTAAAAACTCACAGCAATGTTCCTGCTGCCTTTTTGCAAGATTTTGTAATTTTTGTACTGTTTGATACATTAAAAATATTGTAATAGAAGCAGTCTGTAGAAGCACTTAAAAGTCATTCAAAGACTTTTGATATCCTCAGCTCTTCCCTTTTGGATACCTCCATGCTCTTTCATGTGTTAGAGTCTGATTAGTAACATTAGTTTTAAACTTGAGAAAGTACATTTTGCAAATAGTTAGGAAGGTCTAAAGAAAACGGAAAACACTATGGCTGAATTCCTGCTCTTACGTTGCAAGGACTGTGGAGGAAGGGGTGAGCAGAACTGGCCATCTTTGCTTCAAGATGAGAAATTAGCAGTTAGTAGATGGCAAAACTATACGCTACATGTTTCTGATGGAGAACACTGTATACGAATACAAATCCTAGGAGAAGTTGAAACTTGTTGATGACCATGTTTTCTAGTCATCACTGAACTGTATGTTGTAAAAGTCTACCCCTTTTTTCCCTTCATGCACTGCTAACTATAGGAGCCTTAAAACGGAAGTGGGAATAGAAAATAAATCTACAGTTATGCACTATCTGCTAAAGAGAAATCTTGCTGCAATTTGGTTAATACAAAACAGAACTTTTACAGCCTGTGTTTTAACCTAAAATGATGGATTGAGGAGGTTCTCCCAGAAGTCATTGGGAACGAATGGAAAACAAGAAGAGGCACCAGCATTTCTCAGGTTTTCAATTATACGTTTATGAGTATTTTTTATATATATATATATAAATGAAGAAAAAAATAATAATCCTGGAAAGCTTCTGTAGTGAAGATATTGCATATTTGCTGCTATAAACTTTCTTCTGTAATGAAAGACTTGGAAAGGAACTAATTGAGAAGTCAGATGTTAGGCGTATGTGGAGGCAAAAGGGACTTTCGTGGACTGATTCACTACCTCCATTTAATGCAGTAACCACCTGGCTATTAATCAAGTTCTCCGACAATTACATTTGCCGCTATTTATCACAGTTTATGCAGAAATATTGATGATTTTCAGTTGCTAATTTTCCATGAGACAAAACAAACATGTGTTCTGGAGGTTGATGTCTTAAGACTAGTCATTGGTTTATATTTCCTGGAATGCGTATTCTAAACTGTATTAAATTCAGCTGTTTCACAACCTAAAGAGGCCACATTTTCTTTGTAAGTTCTTCCAAATAAAAATAATTAAAAAAAGCTTTTCACTGGCAGATTTGCTTTCCACAATATTCAGGTTATCTTCCAGAGGTGGATACTTACAACCATGTTAAAGAACGAATATAGTCCTGAGTAAATGTGAGACTTATGTCTTGCTGATTAGGTATCCTGCAAGGGGCACACATTGCTTCAAGTGAAGATCAGAAATACAGGAAAACGTGTACCAACCACAAAAAAGTGACATCCTGTTATTTTCAAGGCCATATTAAGAAAAGACCATATTTCTTAGTGCATTGTGTATTTTTCTTTTATTGCTTTTTATTCATAGCTATCTTAAAGTGTAAGGAGCTGTAAGTTGTTATTTCAAATTATATCAGATTTCAACTCATTAATTTACTAAACCGTTTACATGGATCTAGAAGTTCAGCCTTAACTAATATCAGTGTGCCTTTGCAGTGAATCCAATTACACTTAAATAGGAAAATAATTATTTGTATTGCTCTGATTTAGGCAGGAAGTCACCACAATAAATTTCACAAGTTTCAAGATGAGAGAACAGTTAGAAAACATTAAGTGATCATCCCAATACAAGGCTCCTGAAACAAGTTCGCACATCTTTAATCTCCTAGTACTCTGCCCTCAAAAGAGTCATACAGAGCCTGCCGAAGTTTACAGTGCTTTGAGTCTCCTAAAGGGAAAAAAAAAAAAAGAAAAAAAAAATATTTCAAATTGGCTGAATCAAGAAAATCTTCTTTGCTGAAATCAACATGTTAATTCAAATACTAAAGAATTAGTGAATGAAATTCTTCCCATTTTCCTGAGCTTTATCATAGTACATTTTTATAGGAGTTACATTCATGACCAAAAGAATGTCACGAACAGTTTGCCTTTTATTTAATTTATTAGATCCAAAACATTGACATTCATCTACATGCAGATGGAGACAATGGATTATTACCTTTTCATTTGTGCTGTGAACAACTACTGAAAACACTTTGATTAGTCTCTGGCTCCAGGCAGCTTTTCAGTCAAGAGCCTAATTATTTTTTGCAGTTGAAATATGAGTTGACATGTTGCAAGCAATTGAAAAATATTTTCTTCTACCAAGATGTATCATTTTAGCAGCAGATAACTCTTGTTAAATAATGCTATTTAACTTCTTACAGTCAAATGTCCTCTAGAGGTTAGTACAGATAATGTCACAGTATACTTCTGTTCCTTTGCAACAGACACTTTTTTCTGTATTTTCACATTTCTTAGCAACAAGAAATAGCTTTTTTTTTTTCTTGGGAGCTACATTAGAAATATTTTCACTCTGTTTGCGTGATGTTTTCTGTTTGTCAGCCCATCGTGAGTGATTGAGAAACTTCTTTTGCATAATCTACAGTAAATCACATGACAAGTTATTGTTATTTTTAGGGATTATGCTAAATCATTTCTCTACCCCTTCCAAAAGTGCAAAACCTCATTTTTCTAAGTTCTGCAGCTTGGTCTCCTGGCGAAATGCTACCATTGTGGTCTCTATCACAGTTCCAAATCACGTCAGGATGAAACTCAACCGACTCTAAACCCCACTTTGTCACAGGACATTGTTGCTCACGCTGCTCTTCTCTCCCACGTGTGGCTCAGCCAGCGATCACCACAGAGTCCACCTTTGTTTTTTTCTCATAAGGTGTTCTAAATTGTTAACTCTGATTTGCCCTGTTTGCATACTGCCTTGTGTCCGACAGCAGCGTGTGTTTGATGGTAGTAAAAGGATCTTGATGGCAAGGGCTTTATTATTTGGCATTAATAGTGGTTGCAAAAGTGTCAATCAGACTAGAGGGATTATGGTAACATACATCAGTAAATTTAGGACATTTCAGTATGAAGTTTGTAAAGACATTCAAAAGCTTGGTATTTTAAACTGCTCTGTAAATACAGAGTCTTAGTCTTAATATTGTCACCAAGTTTTCACAAGCCTTTATGTTTAGGAGGCTCTGCTTGAAGAATTCAGAGTGTTTGGGGTTGGGGACCTCATGCTTGTGTTTTACAATGTCCACTACAAATATTTTCACCTCATGAGATATTGCTGGAAGAGCTGTTCTCCTCCAAGAAATGGTGAAAGGCAGCATGCTGCTTGGATTTTAAGAAGGGGCAGTATTCATTTCCTTGGATGACCTAAGGAGGCTGAGGGGAGACCTTATTGCTCTCTACAATTACCTGAAAGGAAGTTGTAGCGAGGCGGAGGTCGGTCTCTTCTCCCAAATCACATGCCTGATGAACCTGATCTCCTTCTATGACAAGATGACCCAATTATTGGATGAGGGAAAGGCTGTGGATATTGTATACCTGGACTTTCAAAAAGCATTCGATACTGTCCCCCACAGAATTCTTGTGGAAAAACTGGCTGCACAGGGCCTGGATGAGCATACAATCCACTGGATCAAGCACTGGCTGGCTGGAAGGTCCCAAAGAGTGGTGCTCAGTGGAGTTAAATCCAGCTGGCGGCCGGTCACAAGTGGTGTGCCTCAGGCTCAGTGTTGGGACCATTTCTGTTTAACATCTTTATTGATGATCTCGATAAGGACATAGGGTGTATCATCAGCAAGTTCGCAGATGTCACCAAGTTAAGCAGGAGTGTTGATTCACATGAGGATAGGGAAGTTCTACAGAGAGACTTAGATAGATTGGATCATTGGGCCAACATTAATGGTATGAGCTTCAACAAGGCCAAGTGCCTGGTCCTGCACTTGGGCCACAATAACCCCATGCAGTGCTACAGGCTTGGGGAAGTGTGGCTGGAAAGCTGCCTGGCAGAAAAAGACCTGGGGGTTCTAATTGACAAGCGGCTGAATATGAGCCAGCAGTGTGCCCAGGTGGACAAGAAAGCCAATGGCATCCTGGCTTGTATTAGAAATAGCGTGACCAGCAGAAGTAGGGAGGTGATTGTCTCCCTGTATTCAGCGCTGGTGAGGCCACACCTCGAGTATTGTGTCCAGTTCTAGACACCTCAATACAAGAGAGAAGCTGAGGTGCTGGAGCGAGTGCAGAGGAGGGCAACAAAGCTGGTGAAGGGCCTGGAGCATCAATCTTATGAAGAGCGATTGAAGGAGCTGGGACTGTTTAGTTTGAGGAAGAGGAGGCTGAGGGGAGATCTCATCACTCTCTACAACTACGTGAAAGGACACTGTAGAGAGGTTGGTACTGGTTTCTTCTCGCAGGTAATTAGTGACACAACAAGGGGAATGGCTTCAAGCTCCAACAGGGTAGGTTTAGACTGAACATTAGGAAAGAGTTTTTCACAGAAAGAGTGGTCAGGCATTGGAATAGGTTGCCCAGGGAGGTGGTTGAGTCACCATCCCTGGATGTGTTTAAGAGCTGTTTAGATGTGGTGTTGGGGGATATGGTTTAGGGGAGAACTTTGTAGAGTAGGGTTGATGGTTGGACTCGATGATCCCAAGGGTCTTTTCCAACCTAAATGAGTCTATGATTCTATATGCGTACAAGAACAGTATTGGCATGATGAAGCCTGAGTGGTTAGAATCCTGCATGTTGCTGTAGTACACATAAATGATAATAATTTCTGTAATTTATAAAAAACAGAAGTGATTTTGTGAGCTTTGGCTGTGTTTCCTAATTGGTACTGTAGTGCAGAAAGAGTATTTCTCACATTTTAAGGAGAAAATAGGCAACTTCTACCTTCACTGTCTGTATTTTTCCCTCTAGGCAATAGATGGCACTAGTAGACCACATGATCAGGGTTTATTTTCCGCGTTCAGGGAGAAATCACTACTGCTGCTTGCAAGTGCAATCGTTTTGTAGGTAGCTTTAAATGTTTTTAATAGTCATCTGGAGACCCAGTTAAATGATTTTTTTATTATGCCTTTGTGGAAAACCAGTCAGATCTAAGTTCCCTTGCCATCCCTTCCTGCCTTAATCTAAGTAAATATGTTTTGCTACTGCAATGTGTAGTTTCATAGCAACCTCAATATTCAAATTAATTTGTCTAAATTAAAGGAGCCACTTGCTGTAGTTAGCACTGGTGCAAGCTGCAATTCAGCTGTCATTATTAAGCCACTTCCCTCAGGAAGTTTCTCCTACCAGATTACAAAGAAGGGACACTTTACTCAGTGGTTTCTTCTGGTGGTTTTCCATGGAGTATTGGAAGACAATATAGACCTTATTTTCATGAGACAATAATATAAAAATAGCAAGATTTTATAATTTCAAAATCTGTGCCATTCTGCACTCAGAAACAGTGACAAGTCAGGTTGCAAAAATAAATAAATCAAAGACAGCTTCTGTATCTATTTAAGATCCGCTTTGTTTACAAATAATAAGTCTGTTTTCAGTTATTTCCTTGCCTAAATAAACACTTGAATAGCATCTTTTCCATGTCTTCTGTAAAGTGTAGCAATAATCCAGGCCTCTGAACATCTATTATTTCACTAGAACTATAAAAGTTCAGCATTCTCGGTCCTAAATAAGCATCGCTGAGCATAGATAGTCCTCTGAAAAATCTCATCAAATGTTGCATGGAGTTTTTTTAATAAATATAAAAAGTGCTTTAACAAAGTATGAATACTTCGTTATTGGTAGATGTCTTTAAAAAGATATAACCTTCTTACTCCACAACATGACTCCTCGCCCAACGCACGCTCCTAATGGAAAGCACATTTCAAAGAAGGTTCTCTGATGAACATCTAGACTTTCATCATGAGATCTACAGGAACAATCTCTCTGTAGCCCTACTTTTATTAGAGATATTAGCAGCTGATGGATCTCTGTGCCAAGAGGTATCTTTCCTTCCTCTTACACTGCATCAAATAGTTGAAACGCATTGAACTGTTTTCATGAACTTTTTTTCTTTTGGTTTAAAATATTCAAATGTATTTTGCTGTGGCAATGGGGAGAAGGAGACTGTCAGCAACACAGATTAACATCAGCTTGGTAAGGTGGTGACAGCAGGTGTTAGTCAAGTGTGCAATGTCACATACAGAAACTGAAGAAGGTATGAGAAGATCATCTGTCTCCCATAGGGGTTTTGATTTGTGTTG